GGCCTTATGAGGGTATACAGTTTTCTTTGGTTTTCAGGCTTCTTTCACAGCAACATACAAAAATATACATTTACATGTATTCAACTGGAAGTAGCTTGTAGTGGTTGAATAGGATGTGCACTGCAGGTTAATGAGAACGTTTTGTTTTGTTAATGAGGTGGAAAAATTTGAGCGGGGCCAGTTGACAACTGACCACAAGTCTTTAACTATGTGACAAAGGAGCATAATTGGTATTAAGATGAGTGTACACAGTTTTTTAAGATGAGTGTACACAAGTGAATTTCCCCAGTGTGGGATAAATAAAGCCTGTTTTACTCTGCTCTTGCTGAAAGTAAGCTTTTTTTGACATGTCACAGTAGCGTTCCATTTAGGCGCTTCAGTTTCAGGGGTCCTGGTATTGTGCATACTGGCACGTGAATACAACAGAGCCATTGTTAATGTCATTAGTAACACCTGTGCTTTTCTTACTATGACAAGTCATAATGTCTACTGTGAAAAGGCCTATTGTGTTTATTTGCAGAAAAAATCTTGATACCACTAGAATGTTTGACAAGTGTTATATTAAAGTGTTGGCGTCAGTGAATTCTGTTTAGAAAAACAAACAATGTTAGAGTCTTACCAATGTTTGGTTTCACTCAGATTTTTAATAACCAAAAGCATAATTTGTTTTACATTTTATTGAAAAAATAAAGTCCCCCAGAAAGCTAGTACATCAGGTACAAAACACATTACAGCCAGAAACAGAGAGCATCATGGGTAAGTGTAGTAAATGCTGGGTGGGCTGGTGAAATAAGGAGCAGCACTGGCTCTTGTGTAGAAGGGGAATGAGGGCTCAGTGCACACATGCATCCTCTTGAAGGGCTCAGTGGCTCCATTAGCAGTGAGTTCATGGTGAGTGCTGCCCCCTGTTGAGCAGATGGGGGAACTTCCAGCTGAAGCTTGAAGGAGGAGAGGCTCCTCAGAGTCCCAGCTGAAGCTCCTCTTTGTCCCAACTCTGTGTCCGAGTGTGGGCCGAGGCTGCTGCTCCACTCTGACCGGCACGCTGGACAGAGGAGAAGCTCTGGAGGCCCGAGCAGAGGGACTGTCTCTCTTCAGGAGGGACTCAATTGAGAAGGGACTGCTGAACTTCACCTCACATCTGATCTGAACAGCTTTGCAGGCCGCAGGTTCAGGAGAGTGGAGAGCTGAGCGGTGCTCTGATGGTCTGCTGGTGTTTTCCATTTCCACTTTGGAGGCCAACTCAGGGAAGTTCTGCAGGATTCCTTTGAAGTGACGACGCACCATCTTTGCTGTGATCTGATTGGGGTCCAGTTTCCAGTAGTTTCTCTTACTGTGCAGTGACTCTGGGACCACCGGGACCTGAAAAATACAGCACAGGGTTTTTAGAGACAAGGTTGAGCTGTTTCTTTAATGAAATAATACATTTGTTCATTTAGAAATATCCAAAGTTTTGGACTAGAAACTTACCTTGACAAAACATTTGCTGGTTGATAAACAAACTCTGATGTTGTTCTCAACAGATTTTCTGTCTTCAGAGATTAATGGTGCCAGTCTGTCCATCAACTACAAAACATCAAGTAGAAATTAAATTAAATGTTTTTCAAACAACAATTTGCGTTTCCTATACAATTATCTCAAAGATGGTTATTGCAAATGTCTTGACCCTTTCATACCTGAGTGAAAGTGAGCATCTTGCCGGGAGCGTCTTGGAGGATAACGGCAATCTTAGCCAGGTAGGTGGTGCTCTTCCTGAACAGATGCTGCTGAGAGCTGCTGGCTGGAGCAAAGAGAGGCAGCTGAGCCCCAAACTTCTCTGTCCTGTTCTGCATTTTGCTTGTTGGAGAGTCAGAGGAGTCGAGTCCACACACAGAGTGATCACAACCTCACAGAGTGCAGATGTGGATGTGAAGTGCAGCTCTAGGTATAAGTCCTGTTGGGACAATAGGGCATTAGAGGGTGTGCAGTGCAGGTTAATGAGGGCCTTTTGATAAGTAGATGAGCCATTACTGCTGGAGGTGGAGCCAGTGATTGCAGTAATAGTTTCCAAAAGTTCATCAGCATGTCTATATGGTGTCTGATCTGCCTCTTTGTTTTTCAGAATTTATATCTAAACTTTAAATTGGGCATGGCAGACTAACATTTATTTGTTAGAAGGCCTTATGAGGGTATACAGTTTTCTTTGGTTTTCAGGCTTCTTTCACAGCAACATACAAAAATATACATTTACATGTATTCAACTGGAAGTAGCTTGTAGTGGTTGAATAGGATGTGCACTGCAGGTTAATGAGAACGTTTTGTTTGTTAATGAGGTGGAAAAATTTGAGCGGGGCCAGTTGACAACTGACCACAAGTCTTTAACTATGTGACAAAGGAGCATAATTGGTATTAAGATGAGTGTACACAGTTTTTTAAGATGAGTGTACACAAGTGAATTTCCCCAGTGTGGGATAAATAAAGCCTGTTTTACTCTGCTCTTGCTGAAAGTAAGCTTTTTTTGACATGTCACAGTAGCGTTCCATTTAGGCGCTTCAGTTTCAGGGGTCCTGGTATTGTGCATACTGGCACGTGAATACAACAGAGCCATTGTTAATGTCATTAGTAACACCTGTGCTTTTCTTACTATGACAAGTCATAATGTCTACTGTGAAAAGGCCTATTGTGTTTATTTGCAGAAAAAATCTTGATACCACTAGAATGTTTGACAAGTGTTATATTAAAGTGTTGGCGTCAGTGAATTCTGTTTAGAAAAACAAACAATGTTAGAGTCTTACCAATGTTTGGTTTCACTCAGATTTTTAATAACCAAAAGCATAATTTGTTTTACATTTTATTGAAAAAATAAAGTCCCCCAGAAAGCTAGTACATCAGGTACAAAACACATTACAGCCAGAAACAGAGAGCATCATGGGTAAGTGTAGTAAATGCTGGGTGGGCTGGTGAAATAAGGAGCAGCACTGGCTCTTGTGTAGAAGGGGAATGAGGGCTCAGTGCACACATGCATCCTCTTGAAGGGCTCAGTGGCTCCATTAGCAGTGAGTTCATGGTGAGTGCTGCCCCCTGTTGAGCAGATGGGGGAACTTCCAGCTGAAGCTTGAAGGAGGAGAGGCTCCTCAGAGTCCCAGCTGAAGCTCCTCTTTGTCCCAACTCTGTGTCCGAGTGTGGGCCGAGGCTGCTGCTCCACTCTGACCGGCACGCTGGACAGAGGAGAAGCTCTGGAGGCCCGAGCAGAGGGACTGTCTCTCTTCAGGAGGGACTCAATTGAGAAGGGACTGCTGAACTTCACCTCACATCTGATCTGAACAGCTTTGCAGGCCGCAGGTTCAGGAGAGTGGAGAGCTGAGCGGTGCTCTGATGGTCTGCTGGTGTTTTCCATTTCCACTTTGGAGGCCAACTCAGGGAAGTTCTGCAGGATTCCTTTGAAGTGACGACGCACCATCTTTGCTGTGATCTGATTGGGGTCCAGTTTCCAGTAGTTTCTCTTACTGTGCAGTGACTCTGGGACCACCGGGACCTGAAAAATACAGCACAGGGTTTTTAGAGACAAGGTTGAGCTGTTTCTTTAATGAAATAATACATTTGTTCATTTAGAAATATCCAAAGTTTTGGACTAGAAACTTACCTTGACAAAACATTTGCTGGTTGATAAACAAACTCTGATGTTGTTCTCAACAGATTTTCTGTCTTCAGAGATTAATGGTGCCAGTCTGTCCATCAACTACAAAACATCAAGTAGAAATTAAATTAAATGTTTTTCAAACAACAATTTGCGTTTCCTATACAATTATCTCAAAGATGGTTATTGCAAATGTCTTGACCCTTTCATACCTGAGTGAAAGTGAGCATCTTGCCGGGAGCGTCTTGGAGGATAACGGCAATCTTAGCCAGGTAGGTGGTGCTCTTCCTGAACAGATGCTGCTGAGAGCTGCTGGCTGGAGCAAAGAGAGGCAGCTGAGCCCCAAACTTCTCTGTCCTGTTCTGCATTTTGCTTGTTGGAGAGTCAGAGGAGTCGAGTCCCACACACAGAGTGATCACAACCTCACAGAGTGCAGATGTGGATGTGAAGTGCAGCTCTAGGTATAAGTCCTGTTGGGACAATAGGGCATTAGAGGGTGTGCAGTGCAGGTTAATGAGGGCCTTTTGATAAGTAGATGAGCCATTACTGCTAGAGGTGGAGCCAGTGATTGCAGTAATAGTTTCCAAAAGTTCATCAGCATGTCTATATGGTGTCTGATCTGCCTCTTTGTTTTTCAGAATTTATATCTAAACTTTAAATTGGGCATGACAGACTAACATTTATTTGTTAGAAGGCCTTATGAGGGTATACAGTTTTCTTTGGTTTTCAGGCTTCTTTCACAGCAACATACAAAAATATACATTTACATGTATTCAACTGGAAGTAGCTTGTAGTGGTTGAATAGGATGTGCACTGCAGGTTAATGAGAATGTTTTGTTTCGTTAATGAGGTGGAAACATTTGAGTGGGGCCAGTTGACAACTGACCACAAGTCTTTAACTATGTGACAAAGGAGCATAATTGGTATTAAGATGAGTGTACACAGTTTTTTAAGATGAGTGTACACAAGTGAATTTCCCCAGTGTGGGATAAATAAAGCCTGTTTTACTCTGCTCTTGCTGAAAGTAAGCTTTTTTTGACATGTCACAGTAGCGTTCCATTTAGGCGCTTCAGTTTCAGGGGTCCTGGTATTGTGCATACTGGCACGTGAATACAACAGAGCCATTGTTAATGTCATTAGTAACACCTGTGCTTTTCTTACTATGACAAGTCATAATGTCTACTGTGAAAAGGCCTATTGTGTTTATTTGCAGAAAAAATCCTGATACCACTAGAATGTTTGACAAGTGTTATATTAAAGTGTTGGCGTCAGTGAATTCTGTTTAGAAAAACAAACAATGTTAGAGTCTTACCAATGTTTGGTTTCACTCAGATTTTTAATAACCAAAAGCATAATTTGTTTTACATTTTATTGAAAAATAGTCTGGTACGTCAGGTACAAAACACATTACAGCCAGAAACAGAGAGCATCATGGGTAAGTGTAGTAAATGCTGGGTGGGCTGGTGAAATAAGGAGCAGCACTGGCTCTTGTGTAGAAGGGGAATGAGGGCTCAGTGCACACATGCATCCTCTTGAAGGGCTCAGTGGCTCCATTAGCAGTGAGTTCATGGTGAGTGCTGCCCCCTGTTGAGCAGATGGGGGAACTTCCAGCTGAAGCTTGAAGGAGGAGAGGCTCCTCAGAGTCCCAGCTGAAGCTCCTCTTTGTCCCAACTCTGTGTCCGAGTGTGGGCCGAGGCTGCTGCTCCACTCTGACCGGCACGCTGGACAGAGGAGAAGCTCTGGAGGCCCGAGCAGAGGGACTGTCTCTCTTCAGGAGGGACTCAATTGAGAAGGGACTGCTGAACTTCACCTCACATCTGATCTGAACAGCTTTGCAGGCCGCAGGTTCAGGAGAGTGGAGAGCTGAGCGGTGCTCTGATGGTCTGCTGGTGTTTTCCATTTCCACTTTGGAGGCCAACTCAGGGAAGTTCTGCAGGATTCCTTTGAAGTGACGACGCACCATCTTTGCTGTGATCTGATTGGGGTCCAGTTTCCAGTAGTTTCTCTTACTGTGCAGTGACTCTGGGACCACCGGGACCTGAAAAATACAGCACAGGGTTTTTAGAGACAAGGTTGAGCTGTTTCTTTAATGAAATAATACATTTGTTCATTTAGAAATATCCAAAGTTTTGGACTAGAAACTTACCTTGACAAAACATTTGCTGGTTGATAAACAAACTCTGATGTTGTTCTCAACAGATTTTCTGTCTTCAGAGATTAATGGTGCCAGTCTGTCCATCAACTACAAAACATCAAGTAGAAATTAAATTAAATGTTTTTCAAACAACAATTTGCGTTTCCTATACAATTATCTCAAAGATGGTTATTGCAAATGTCTTGACCCTTTCATACCTGAGTGAAAGTGAGCATCTTGCCGGGAGCGTCTTGGAGGATAACGGCAATCTTAGCCAGGTAGGTGGTGCTTTTCCTGAACAGATGCTGCTGAGAGCTGCTGGCTGGAGCAAAGAGAGGCAGCTGAGCCCCAAACTTCTCTGTCCTGTTCTGCATTTTGCTTGTTGGAGAGTCAGAGGAGTCGAGTCGCACACACAGAGTGATCACAACCTCACAGAGTGCAGATGTGGACGTGAAGTGCAGCTCTAGGTATAAGTCCTGTTGGGACAATAGGGCATTAGAGGGTGTGCAGTGCAGGTTAATGAGGACCTTTTGATAAGTAGATGAGCCATTACTGCTAGAGGTGGAGCAAGTGATCGCAGTAATAGTTTATTTCCATCATAAAGACATCAGCATGTCTATATGGATGCTTTGAGATTTTATTCACACTAGGGGACACATTTCTCCAATTTATCTCCCAAAATGATACAATGATGTTAAAATTACACTTTTGTTTTCATCCTTTTTTGTAGTTTGTTGTTCTCAGTCTTTATTGTGCTTTTTGTGTTCTGTGTTCAGCTTAATTGTGGCTCTACCTCCAATCTAGCAGTGCGGATGTGGTGCTGTGTATGGAATTGTTCAAGTGCTCATGTTGTTGTTTTGTAGTAATATTAGGCAACAAAAGATTCCATATATACTGTATATATACAGTACCCTCCAAAAGTATTGGAACGGTATGGCAAATTCCTTTGTTTTTGTTGTTCAATGAAGACATTTGGGTTTCGCAAAAGTTCTGGAGCACAATCTTATGGACTGATGAGACCAAGATTAATCTCTACGAAAGTGATGGAAAGGCCAAAGTGTGGAGAAAGAAAGCACACAAGCTCATCTGTGAAGCATGGTGGAGGTAATGTCATGGCTTGGGCGTGCATGGCTGCTTCTGGAACAGGCTCATTAATATTTATTGATGATGGAACTGATGATGGTAGCAGCAGAATGATTTCAGAAGTGAACAGAAACATTTTGTCTGCCAATTTATATATAGATATGCATTGAAACTAATATGGAGGAAGTTTATCATGCAGCAGGACAATGACCCAAAGCACACTGCCAACAAAACAAAGGACTTCATCAGGGGGGAAAAGTGGAAGGTTTTAGACTGGCCAAGTCAATCAGCTGACCTTAACCCAACAGAGCATGCATTTCACCTCCTTAAGAGGAGACTGAAGGAAGAAACACCCCGAAACAAACAAGAACTGAAAGAAGCTGCAGTAAAATGGAATAGTATCACAAATGAAGAATGCAACAGTTTGGTGATGTCGATGGGTCGCAGGCTTGAGACAGTTATTGCAGCGTTATACCACCAAATATTAAATGTTATTTACTTTAAGATTATTTGTTCCATTACTTTTGCTCACCTAAGAATGCTGTGGTCGAAACAGTGAAATGTCCTAAGTTGTTTAACACATCTAGATGTGAATACTAGGAAATAAAAGCTGAAATTCTGAACTCTTGTCTCATACTCATCACCATTCCTATACTTTTGGAGGGGACTGTACATATACTATAAGAATTAATTCTCTCTGTCTTAGTTTTTTGCAAGAAAATGTTGACACTGTTTTTGAAGCAAGCTGAAGGTCTGATAAAGTGTAAAAACAACATTATTTGTTCAGCTGATCTGAAGGCCCCTCCATCTTATTTTCAAACAAACCTAACACAGATAGGGTAAATCAAACACTAACATTTTTTTTCCAATCACCGACTGAAGTGTAGTCAAGATAATTTGGACTCCCATCTCAGACAGACTCCACCTCAGTATCCCCACATAGTTTTGTGTGCACAGACATTCTTGCAGTTTCATGAGAACAGATGTTCCTTTTGTAGTTAGTTTCAGACAAATTTGGATGACTAGCAAAATGTTGGGAATCTTTATCAAATATTGCCAGCCTACACGGTCTAATATTGCTCTTCTTAATAAACACTCTGAGTAAACTATTATTTAATTTAATTTATCAAGCAATATTTTTACCCTACTGTTTTGTACTGACATGTGATGAATGAATGCATCATAATGCAGATTAAGCTAGTGTTCTTTTGTCCTACACAAACAAGACAAAGGCTCACAAAGGCTGTAATGAAAGAGGTGAAAATCCCTGGAATGTAACCGTTCAAATGGGTGATTACAACAAACAGCATTTTTACTTCTACATTAATTCATTTCATGTAATGGCAAACGTGTTTAAACACACAACTCTAAATGGACTGAAATGTAATGTTTTAGATTCAAAGTCAGCATCTGTATTTCATCAAAGCAATTTCAAATAGTTGTTCTGGAAAGAAAACATCACTGTCTAATGGAAACTGAATTGTAACAGATTGTTGTTTGCCTCCTTCACTTCACTTTACAAAAGGCAAGTGATAAGTTCTGAGGAGAATAGCTATTATAATTGAGGAACAATGCATCTTTTTTTCATGTGAAGTTCCAGAGCAGAACCACACCCTAAACACTTCTCATTCCTGTCATACGTCTATAAACGCCTTGCTGCCCTGCACACCAGTTCATTGGCCATTCCCACCCGCCAGTCACTACTTACACATTTCATATTCAATCATTTATCTGTATCAGCCCCCTCCCCAGTCTGGGTCAGCTTTCATTTCATTGATTTTTAAGACTAGACATCTGTACTTTGCTCAGTAAAATTTGAAAGTGAAATCAGCTGGTCCAGAGTTGAGTCAAAATGGAAACACTCCCCACCCTCCATCAGTGTAAACAAGTTCTAAACTTGTTTTTGCACAAAGAATTCAGTATGAGGTAATGTGCCAATGCATCTGAATGAGGATCACTGATGTAAATGACCACCGTCATTATTATGTGAGACAAAAGGCAGTAGGTTTGACTTTAAAGGAGTGCAAACTGCTGGATTGTGATTGATTGCTCATTGGAAATTCATTGTCACTTAGCTGTGTCTTGTGTAATATCAGACCAGCCTTTGTGAGGCTGAAAAACAACATGTTTGTATTGTCTCAAGAAATAAGATTGAACAAAATATAAGATGGAAACCTAAAGATAATTAGGTTACTGATGTTAAAATGCCCAAAGTGTCACAAACTGGAGCAAGAACAACACACACCTGCAGATAATTGAGAATCAGCTGATATCTGCTGTAAAAACTACTTCAGTGTGAGCACTGCTCTAAGATGGACCTGTATTGCACTAAAACAACTTCAGTGTGAGTTCACAATGGATGGCAGTTGTAATTACTCATGTTTTTGAACATATTGGCATTGATATAATAATGTCAATGTAGCTTCAAAGGTTCACTATGTTGTGATTTTTTTTTTGTGAAGTAGTTTGTTGATGTGCTAAAACTTGTACTTCATTTGTACATTGCTTTGGACAAAAACGTCTTCCAGTTGAATACATGAATGTATATTTATGTATATTGTATGTTGCTTTGAATGAAGCCTGAAAACCAAAGACAACTGTAGGGCCTTCTAATAAATGTTTTTAATATTTGTGTATGTAACTTTAGATTTCCATTGCCTAATTTAAAGTTTAAATATAAACTCTGGAAAAAATTTAACCACTCATGTGAACAAAGAGGCAGATCAGACATCCATATAGAAATGCTGATGAACTTTTGGAAACTATTATGGTCACTGGCTCCACCTCCAGCCGTAATGACCCATCTACTTATCAAAAGGCCCTCATTAACCAGCTTGTTTTGTCAAGGTAAGTTTCTAGTCCAAAACTTTGGATATTTCTAAATGAACAAATGTATTATTTCATTAAAGAAACAGCTCAACCTTGTCTCTAAAAACCCTGTGCTGTATTTTTCAGGTCCCGGTGGTCCCAGAGTCACTGCACAGTAAGAGAAACTACTGGAAACTGGACCCCAATCAGATCACAGCAAAGATGGTGCGTCGTCACTTCAAAGGAATCCTGCAGAACTTCCCTGAGTTGGCCTCCAAAGTGGGAATGGAAAACACCAGCAGACCATCAGAGCCCCGCTCAGCTCTCCACTCTCCTGAACCTGCGGCCTGCAAAGCTGTTCAGATCAGATGTGAGGTGAAGTTCAGCAGTCCCTTCTCAATTGAGTCCCTCCTGAAGAGAGACAGTCCCTCTGCTCGGGCCTCCAGAGCTTCTCCTCTGTCCAGCGTGCCGGTCAGAGTGGAGCAGCAGCCTCGGCCCACACTCGGACACAGAGTTGGGACAAAGAGGAGCTTCAGCTGGGACTCTGAGGAGCCTCTCCTCCTTCAAGCTTCAGCTGGAAGTTCCCCCATCTGCTCAACAGGGGGCAGCACTCACCATGAACTCACTGCTAATGGAGCCACTGAGCCCTTCAAGAGGATGCATGTGTGCACTGAGCCCTCATTCCCCTTCTACACAAGAGCCAGTGCTGCTCCTTATTTCACCAGCCCACCCAGCAGTTACATCACTTACTCTGTACCATCACTTAATCACGATGCTGTCCATTTTCGTTTGTAAAAGTATTTTTTCCTACTTCCAAACTGCACTTTTATATGTTTTTGAGTGGAACATAGCCGATACTTCAAAACATTTTTTTTCTCTTTAAAATCTGGTGCACATTTCAAATCACACAAGGCCTGTAAACGGTCTCATGTGTATCTCATTGTGTCTTAAATTTTATATATTTCATATATTTGTTGGCAGATAACTCATGGTCAATAGAAGTTGATATCTCCTGAAGTGCTACTTGATTGCACAGTGAGAAGGTGAGCTAAAAGACTTATCATCTTCAACAGATGATATATTATCCATGTATAATATGGTTAAAGGGAATCTTTTTTTTTTTTTACATGGTTGTGTTAGTGTTTGAAGATGGTATCTGATCACAGGAGGGCATCATATGATTTCAAAGTGTATCTTGACGTGCAGTGCTTGTCAACACTCGCCCTTGTGTCAAACTCAAAGAATAAAGGTGTGTCTTCTGCACCGTGGTACTTTAGTCCAACATTTGTGACGATTAATATATTTTTTGTTGAACATTTCCATTATTAGATTGTCTTTTTATAGTTCCTCTACAGTCTCACCTGACTCATGTTATGGGTGTAAAGAGACTTTTACTGCAACATCTAATGGTGGACACCATGGTTACACGCACCAAAAACTATAAACCAATATTGGCCATGCAAGTTGGTTGCAGTTTAATTGGAACATTTGAACTTTAAACCTTGTTCCCAAGGCTGCAGTCACCCTATTTAGTTAGATCGAATACTGAGTTGACTGACCACAGTGGCAAGGTTAAGTTATACAAATATGTTGTAGATGAAATATGTTTGCTTTTCTATTTGCAGCACATCTGCACCACAATGTGCAGTGTGTGTGAACTATAACTTACTTTGTCCATCGGA